CGCAGCCGAGGCAGCTTGTCCCTGGCCAGTGTAGCTGTAGGGTCCTGGGTGCTGTCCGAGGTCTCCCCTGGTGGATGTGAGGCTGGGCCCCCAGTCAGAGCGGCTCTCCCCTTCAATATGGCGCAGTTTCTGTGGCAGAGCCGGCCACTCCAGGAGAGATTTCAGCAGTAGTAGAGGCCATCCAGCTAGGGGAGCCTGGTCCCCCAGTCCTCAACAGTCCTGCAGAATATAACTGTCCCTCACTCACATACACATATGCCCCACACACCCACACACTCCCCTTTCACTCACTCACTCACTCACTCACTCACTCACTCACTCACACTCTCCTCCTCACTTCTGTCCTGTCAGCCATCTTCTATCCTCAAATCTCAGTCTTTTAATGAGCTTGTGCCTCTGGGTTGTGACCTTCACAAGTACTTCTCAGCTTTCCTCCCTTTCTTAGGTGAGACAGGAAAGCTGGAGGAGGCTGGAATTGAGTATTTCCCGCCATTGGGTAGGCTAGATTTCAAAGAACCCAAGTCTTTCAGGCTCAGGTAAAAGAGTTTCCTTAAGGGCAGACCTTTATTTTAATTTTTTTTAGTTTTATTTTGTAGTGCCCATTTTACTAATTGTTATTTCTTTTTTTTTTTTTTAATATATTTTATTGATTTTTTACAGAGAGGAAGGGAGAGAGACAGAGAGTCAGAAACATCGATGAGAGAGAAACATCGATCAGCCGCCTCCTGCACATCCCCCACTGGGGATGTGCCCGCAACCCAGGCACATGCCCTTGACCGGAATCGAACCCGGGACCTTTCAGTCCGCAGGCCGACGCTCTATCCACTGAGCCAAACCGGTTTCGGCATAATTGTTATTTCTTTAGCAATACTCTTCCCATCTCTGGGAGGTTATAGTAGTTATCATAGGAATATGTTTAATTAAAAATAATAAAGATATTTCTATTTTAAAATTATGACAAAATAGACATTTTTCTAATCAATCACCCTATACTGGTCAACTGAAAATGATCAAATATTTAAAAATGTATTATAAGGCAATGAAATTATATGCCACAAAGTAACTACATTAATAATTAATTTTTCTCCAAAAATGACCATTAGTCTAAAAAAAGAATTGACACAAATTTGGCCTGTCAGTACAGAATGCAAATACAGAATGTCCTTTGTTTAAACACACCACAAAAATAAAACAGTACTGATTTAAGGGCAGACCTTTCTTAAGAACAGACTACTCTGGGCTTAGTTCAAGACAGTTGCTTCTCCCCTTCCCCTTCCAGAAGCATAAGGGAACATTTCTCTGCTCTTTACCCTGAAAGCCTGAAGCAAAAGTCACAAAAGTGTGGGGCATCTTTAAAATTAAATCCTATGGGGGTTTTAACTCTTAAGTTAGTCCACACTAGGTCTATGTTGACTCATCAATTATAGTTTAAGTGTTCTACTTGCTACTGGCTACTGATCCTGGGTTTCTGCTCCACTATACTGTGATTGTCAGTATTTGCTTCTGTCTCAAGTTTTGGGGTTAGTAGTTTGTCATGTGACCTAAACTCTCTGATGGATCTAAGCAGAGTTGTAGATTTTTATTTTGTTCAGTTTTTCACTTGTTGAAAATTTGAGAGTGACAACTTCCAAACTTTTCCAAGTATTACTTAAAATTAAATAAACTAAATCAATTTTTTGAGGTAGTGATTTCTGTCACCTGAATTTACTATTTTTTTAATTTTGCTGGTGTTCACTTTTTCATATAACTTTCCTTCACTGTTAATCCTTTGTATGATGTATTTCTAAAGTTATTTGACGTATATCCAAGATCCCCTAATTTGTATACTTTATTCTGAAACCAGTGTCTTCAGTCAGTGTGTCTCTTTCACACATTCTGCAACGACATACTTCTATGTTACCTCCTAAAAAATTCTACCTTCTTCCTTTTGTCTAGGCAAACTCTTCTTGTGTCTTTTATGGATAATTTAGTCAGTAATAGTCTTTCCCTTCTTTGAAATCCATTGCAAGCATGACTATATCACCCTGTTTTACCTCATTTTGTTTACATTTTTTAACCTGGTCTTTTAATGTTTATATTTATCTTACACCAAATATATAGCCTAGAGCTAGGCATTTATTAGGGGATTGACAAAGAATCATTGATAGTTCGTTATATATCAATATTTGCTAGGAAATTGTGACTGCCCTGAAGATTGATTTATAGACATAAACACTAACTTGCTCTTTTACTCCCCAAAAGCAAGTCACCCCTAGATTTTCAAGAGCTGGTAATTAAGACACCTCATTTTTATTAATAGACAGATGAAGGATCATTTTTCAAATCCTCTCTCCAGATTCTTTCTGCAGCCTGTAAAGAGCTTATTTTGGAAACCATATTAGAAATTAAGAAGCAAGGGACTGGTCTGGAGACACAGGATCAGTTTTCTGCTTCACGCCTGGCAGAGGCTGTGGCTACCCTATAAACGAAGCTTTAAATCAAACTTAATTCAGAGTGCTTCAGTAGCTTCTGCACTAAAGGGGATTCTTCCATAACAGGTTACACAGAACTAAAAGAAGTGAGTGTAGTGAGATTTTACCCATAGCAGGGAGAAAATGGAGAGAATAAAATTCAACCTAGTCTGTGAAGACAGTAAATTCCCATTTTATCCTTGGTTAGTTATATGTTGGGAGAGGAGAAAGAGAGGAAAATGAATTTAACCAGGAAGAGAAATAATAATAGAAAAACTATACAAGTAAAATGTGGTAAAGAAAATTCTTGTACTTGTCTGGTTCCGTGATCACACATGAATGTAAAGGGCAGGAGAAAACTTACTTAATTTACAAATGCTAGTATCATCAACTCTTACATATGTATATTATTGGAAGGGAACAGAAACAGGGTTAATTTCAAAAGTATGTCTATTTGGAATATAATCTGGATTTCAGATTTCATATGGGAGACTCTCATATTCTAGGAACTATCTTCTACTAAACCAAGTTTAAGACCTTTCTTCCCTCAAAAGAGAGCCAAAGGAGATTAACCCAAGCCAAATTTAAGTATCAACAAATGTAAATAAAAATATGTCTGGAGGAGCCAAAATGTAAGCAATGTACCTTTGGATAATGAAATGTTGATGTAGCTCAGTTGTTTGGAGCGTCATCCTGATATTCCAATGTTGACAGTTCGATGCCCAGTCAGGGCACATTCAAGAATCAACCAATGAATGCATAAATAGTTGAAACAACAAGTTGATCTCTCTCTCTCTCTCTCTCTCTCTCTCTCTCTCTCTCTCTCTCTCTCTCCTCTCTCTCTCTCTCGTCAATACATAAAATTTTTAAAAGGTAATATTCCTTTGCATGTGCATAGTGCTATTTACTTTTAAGTCACCTTAATGCATTTTAAAACAAAGTTAAGGTAAGTATGATAGGTATTTTTCCCAGCTTAAAGATGAGTAAAATTATGGTGCCACTAAATTAATGATTTTGTAAAGATTCAGCTTGAGTTTGTAAGGGGAAAGTGAACTTAGAACCCAGTTTTTTCTGAGCACAGTTGTCTTTTCCAACTTTATGCTAAATGCTAATAAATCAGAGGATTCTTGCCTGCATTCATTAGCAAGTGTCCAAAACAGACAAGATAATTACTTCCATGCCAAAATTTTATCTTTTGCAAATACATGTATTTAAGAACTTCACCTCAGTCAAAAGCAGCATGAGACAGAAAAAAATGGTAGCAGAGTACCCACTTTCACTTTACTCAGTAGACAGCTGGTTTTTGTGTAGAAAATACTTTTCTAAAGAAACAGGAGGCACACTCCTCAGGAAATGTTCATTGAAACTCAGCTCTTCTGAGAGGCACACTCCTCAGGAAAGGTTCATTGAAATTCAGCTCTTCTGAGAAGAACACTGGTTCCTGGTCATTCAAATATAACATGAGACAGTGTTTCTCTTGTGAGGGAGGGAAAGAGAAGGGCAAAGGGCAGTATCTGAGAAAGAGAAAGAGAAAGAGAAAGAGAAAGAGAAAGAGAAAGAGAAAGAGAAAGAGAAAGAGAAAGAGAAAGAAAGAGAAAGAGAAAGAGAAAGAGAAAGAGAAAGAGAAAGAGAAAGAGAAAGAGAAAGAGAAAGAGAAAGAGAAAGAGAAAGAGAAAGAGAAAGAGAAAGAGCAGTATCTGAAGAAAGCATGGCCCTAGTTGGGAGCTAGCAGCACTGTGGAGATAGGGTATAGGGCACGTGCCTGCATTGAACAAAGAGGCAGGAGAAAAATCTAAGAACAGGCTTCTCAATGACATTTGGTGATAGAAGGCCACTAACATCCTCAGTTTACTTACTATAAGGCAACTATTTTCAAGGCTCCTTTCTTTCTCCCCTCAGCCCCTGTTGTCAAAACTCTAATGTCCAACACAAACCCAACACTCCTACAGATTTTTTTTCCTTCATGCCATAGTGCAAAAATCCAATTTATGGGTTTCTTTTAAATGATTTTATTGATTTTTAGAGAGAGAGTAAGGGAGAGGGAGAGAGAAAGATGCATCCATACCAGAGAGTTACATCAATTGGCTGCCTCCTGCACCCCTCTCTCCCCACCATGGATCAAGCTCACAACCCAGGCATGTGCCATGACAGGCACATCTAAATCAACAACCCCCAGATAAACTGACAACACCAAACCAACTGAGCCACTTTGACCAGGGCCAATTTGTTTTTGTAAGCTCAGCTTAGAATATGGAACCCAATGTTTCTTCTTTTTTTGCCACACAAAATTGTGGTGGCTTCATTTGTCAATAGCATATTAATATTTCTTTTTGCCAAGTGGAATTCCTCACTTCTTTCCTTTCGCATCTGATCTTCACATCAAGAGACACTTTTTTTGTGTTTTCTTGTTAAAGGTTCCACAATATACCGTCAGGATTCTCTATGCCCATTGGATAACCTGTGTGAGCATTGTAAACATTTGCAGTCTTCTTATAGCTGCTCTCTTCCCAAATCAAACCAAGTTATCCAACAATATTGTCTTTATTTCAGGCTACTCAAAGAGCATCTTGGAGAAAAAGAAGTTGAGTTGGCACTTATCTTTGATTCAGTGGTGGAGGCTGACCTGGCAAATTATACCTGCCATGTGGAAAACCGAAATGGAAGGAAACATGCCAGCGTTCTGCTGCGTAAAAAGGGTATTTAGTTTTATAATTATTACTATGGTTTGTTTACCTACCAAATAACTATGGAAGTTAGATTTGTTTCCTGGTCTTATGTTATCATTTAGTATAAACTTCTATTAAACATTCTATCTTTTTTAGGAAAAATATATCTCTCTTGCTGTAGATATTAGCATAAAATGACTATGATTTATATGATTATAAAGTGGATAAATGAAATGAAATATTATTATATGTTAAATCCAGTAAGACAAAATGTACCCTGGTTATAAATGTTACTTAAAATGTATTAGGTATTGTCATTCAAAATTGAATCTATATTTCACCATCTTATGCAATTCTAGGAACTTTATTATTTGATGGGAAACACTCTTTATTCCCTGACTAAAATATAAATAAAAATAATAAATAGCATCATACAATATTTTCTAATTGTTATAAACACAATTATAAACTATATTTAATGATATGACCTAATGTTGAGGGCTTTAGTAGGTGCATATATTTTTAAACAATTTGGCATTTATGGACATCCCTCTCTATAGTTGATTCCAGATGGGGTGGAAATTGTATTAATAGGCAAAGAAAATAAACTATAAATTTATAGATAAATGAGATAAAAGCAGACATAGAAACAACCCCAGCAGCTGGAGCAGTTTCTGACATTGGCTCTTACCCTGCCACAGCTCTTGATTACTGCAAAAGGCTAAATAGGTTCTGTATGTGTGCATCTGGCAAAGGGTTTGTCAGTGTAACCAAACAAATGTTCTCAATCAGTGTTCTTGTCTAGGCTATAAAGCAATAGAACAGATTCAATCAGCAAGGTCACTATTTGTACCTCCTTGCCAAGATGGAATTTTTATTTTCCAGCCAGCTCTAATATTTGACTTCGACCTGAAGCTCTAGAAGTAGGGAAATGTCATTATACTGAAATAATGCTTTTATCTTTCCAATACCATTTCTTACTCTGTCTGAATTGGTTCCATCTTAAAATAATAGAACATTTAAGTATAAAGGAATCTAATATGGAAAGTGAAATCAGTAGACCCTGGTTGATGAGATCCTAGTTCAGCCATTGATTCAGCTACCTGGTTCAGTAGGATTAACTTCTGACTAGACATCCTGAACCTTTGTTTACTCATCTGCAATATAGGGGCAATAGCATCTAAATTGTAGAGTTATTTTGAGATTAAAATGATATCAATATGGTGTGAAATATACCATGTTCAAACAGGGTTCAATTTTATACAGAATTTGGATAATTTCCCCTATGCAATTGGCAACCACTTAATCCACCTACATGAAGGGCAGACATTGATCATATGTAGATACCTTGTAGCAAGAATCATTTTGTTCTTGTGCATCTCAGTTTTATTTTAGCTTGAGAGTTCCTCTAAGCCAGGGTCTGATGCACTTCTGTATCCTCAGCACGACTTAGACAGTGTCTAGCAACTAATAGAATCTCAGAACCCATTCTGGTTAATGAATGAAGAAAGTTCTCTTTTATTATTGAGGTTCATGTAGCAAGCATTGTGTCAGATACTGGAGAATAGAGCTCTGAATAAGAGAGATGCCCAAGTCTGTGAGTGTGCAGAGAAAGACAAACATTAAAACTATTCATGAAATATGTATAGTGTTATAATTAAAAACTTGCTATGAGGAAAAATAATGGTGCTCCTTTCATTCAGTCAGTGGAAATAGAAATAGGTGTATTTTAAGTTATAAAATGTATCCATTTCTCTTTAATAAGTAAAGCCATCACTAGCAACCCTTAAAATTTCTAATAATCTGACATTAGAAAACAAGGCATACTGTAAAACTGCCATGTCTAATGGCTTCTGCAATGAAACATGTCTAAATCACGAATACCTATGAATACTATTAATTCTCATATTCCTGATCTAGAGTTCCCTAGGATTTAGGTCCCCTATTCTCATTTATTTTTATATTGAATTTACTGGGGTGATATTGGTTAATAAAATTATTTAAGTCTCAGTTGTACAATTCTATAATACATAATCCGTATATTGTGTTGTGTGTTCACCACCACCCCAAAGTAAAGTATCTGTCCATCACTATTTATTCCCTTTACCCTCTTCTACCTCCCACTGCCCCCCTTTCTCTCTGGTAATCACCATACTGATGTCTGTGTCTGAGTTGGGTTCTTTTTTACTCAATCCCTTCATTTTTTCCACCAGTCCCCCAAACTCCTTCTCTTCTGACAGCTGTCAGTCTGTTCTCTATCTATGAGTTTGTTTATATTTTGTTTGTTAGTTTATTTTGTTCATTAGATTCCACATATGAGTGAAATCACATGGTACTTGTCTTTCTCTGACTGGCTTATTTTACATAGCATAATAATCTCCAGGTCCATCCATGCTGTTACAAAGAGTAAGATTTCTTCTTTTTATGGCCGAGTGATATTCCACTGTGTAAATGTACCACAACTCTTTTATCCACTCATCTACTGATGGACACTTGGGCTTCTTCTAAATCTTGGCTATTGTAAATAATGCTGCAATGAACATAGGATATATATATTCAAATCATTGTTTCAGATTTCTTTGAATATATTCCCAGAAGTTGAATCACTGGGTCATAAGGCAGTCTTTCGAGTTAACTCCATACTGCTTTCCATAGTGTCTGCAACAATCTGCATTCCCACCAATAGTGCACACGGTTTTCCTTTTCCACACATCCTAGACACTTGTTGTTTGTTGATTTATTCATGATAGCCATTCTGGCAGGTGTAAAGTGGTTTTAATCATTGTGGTTTTAATTTGCATTTCTCTAATGATTAGGGATATTGATCATCTTATCATATGTCTACTGGCCACCTGTATGTCCTCTTTGTAGAAGCGTCTATTCAGGATCTGTTCCCATTTTAAAATTGTATTGTTTTGGTTTTTGGTGTTGAGTTTTGTAAGTTCTTTATAAACTTTGGATATTAACCCCTCATCAGATGTATCATTGGTGAATATGTTCTCCCATTCGTTGGGGTTGTTCTTTTACTTTGTTGATGGTTTAGATTATTTCATTCCATCTCCATCTCAAGGTTTTTAAAAATCATTTATTGTTTGATAACTCACAAATTTATATCTCTAGTCTGAACTTCCTGCCTAAACTCTGAAGTTGTATACCTAACTGCCTATTCAATAACTATTAAAAATCTCATTGACATGGCATTGGCCTCCAGTAGTAGTGAATAAATGTTATGCAACTTTTAAAAAAATCTCCACCAGTAGACATATCAACCTTCACTTGTTTGAAACAGGACTCCTGATTTCTCCTCCTATAAACCAAATCCTCCAGTTTTCTTCTCCATAGCCATCAACATCCTTCCAGTTGCTCAGTCATCCTTAACTTTTTTTTCTCTATTCATATGCTATATCTGGTCCACAAGCAAGTTTCATGGCTCTACTTTAAAATACACTCAGACTCCAATCACTTTCTTTACCTTCCCTGCTACCACTCTGGTTTGAGCCACCAGGATCAATTGCCTAGCTCGCCACAATAGCCTCCTAAGTGATCTCTGTACTCCCCCCATCTTTACATACAGTCTATTATCACAGCAGTCAGAATGATCCTTTTATATGTAAGTCAGATCATATTATTCCTCTAATCAGAACCCTCCAATTGCAGACACCTCACTATTATACTTAGAATAAAACCCCAAATCATTGTCATGGCCTAAAAGGCATGGCACAATCTGTTGCAATTTCTGATCTCATTGTCACCAAAATCTGCCTCAAACATCACATGCACTAGCCACTTTTCAATTTCTCATACTAACAAAGCACAATTCTGGCTCATGGTCTATGCCAGTGATGGCGAACCTATGACACGCGTGTCAGAGGTGACATGCAAACTCATTTTTTTGGTTGATTTTTCTTTGTTAAATGGCATTTAAATATATAAAATAAATATCAAAAATATAAATCTTTGTTTTACTATGGTTGCAAATATCAAAAAATTTCTATATGTGACATGGCACCAGAGTTAAGTTAGGGTTTTTCAAAATGCTGACAGGCCGAGCTCAAAAGGTTCACCATCACTGGTCTATGCACTTGGTATTTCCTCTACCTGAGACATCCTTCCCTAAGCTATTTGCATGACTCATTCCCCCTTTTCATACTGGTCTCTGCTTAAATATTACCTACTTGATAGGGTTTCCCTGGCCACCCTATATAAAATAATATTACATATCTATTTTTTAAAATTTTCGTCTTATTGAAGTAAAATTGATAAATAAAATTGTAAGGTACTTAAAGTGTACAATGTAATGACTTGATATAAATATACATTGTGACATGATTTCCCCCATTGAGGTAATTAACACATCCATCACTCACATATTTACATTTTTGTAACCACATTTATTTTCTAGACTCTGAGCAAATTGTAATTATACAATACAGTATTATAAAGTACTGTCATCATGTTATACATTAGATCCCCAGACCTTATTCATCTTATAACTAAAAGTTTGTATCCTTTGGCCAACATCCCCCTATTTTCTCCCCCACCACCTAGCTCCTGACAACCACTTTTCTGCTGTTTGTTTATATGACTTCAGCATTATTTTAGATTCCACATATAAGTGATATTATGCAGTATAATATTTATATTTTTCTGCCTTATTTCATTTACCATAATAGCCTCCATTATAGCAAATGACAGAATTTCCTTCTTTCTTAAGGCTCAATAATATTCCATTATAAATATATATAAATTTGTGCATGTGGAGGGGGAGTCCCTCAGCTTAGCCTGCACCCTCTCCAACTCCAAACTGGGACCCCTTGGGCCTAAACAAGCAGTTGGACATTCCTCTTGCAATCTGGGACCGCTGGTGCCTAACCACTTACCTGCCTGCCTGCCTGATCACCCCTAACCTTTCTGCCTGCCTGCCTGATCACCCCTGACCCCTAAACCCTCTGGCTGCTGGCCTGATCACCCCTAACTGCTCTTCCCTGCCAGCCTGATTGCCCCTAACCACCTCTTCCTCGGCCCTGCCA